ACATCGATTAGCCGCCATCTCTTGCAACGTCTCTAGCCAAGCACACACGGGGTCAAGGGGACCCCATCCTGGGAGTCTCACAACACCAACAACACCCAAACTCTTCGTGATCTCTTTCACGCCTTTCTGCCAAGTCATATGCTGCCAACCTCGCGGTTTGCGCAATCCTAAAGGAGGCACGGAGAACAACACTCGTCCCGGTGGACGGTGTTTCGGTATGCGTAGCACATAACCGAGCCATCTCAGTAGATTATTAGGGGTGTTCTTCCGGACTGAGGTGCCTGCAGCATAAGCAAATACCCGTTTTCTAATCGCATCATTATGGACACGCTGACGCTATCCACAACCAGTCAAGCTTCTGAGGCAACGGTGGTCAAAAACCTGAAGCGGCCTCACATCATCTGTCCGAGGAGGCCATGTTTTGCACCCATACAACAACACAGCCCTTAATGTAGCCTGGTACATACGGCACTAGAGATCCAGCGAGATGCCTTTTTGACGCCACAAGTAACGCAAATTACCAAATGTGATTCGAGCCTTCGAGATTCCTGCACTGACCTCATCAGACACACTTCCATCAGAGCTAATAAAACTACCGGGGTACGTAAAGTTTTCCATAATCTCCAGTGGTTCTCCTTGAATTGTAAGGGATGTGTTCGAAGATGGCACGTTTTGAAGCAGGACTTTGCACTTTGAAGGTGCAAGGCGCACACCAAATGATGGTATGATGATGGTCAGTTTATTCAACAGAGTTTGTGCCTCATTTTGGTCTCCAAAGATGAGGGTGATATCATCTGCGCACTCAAGATCGACAAGGCTCTCGCCAGCAACAATTTGACCACCGCCTCATTATTTCATCGATGACGAAGTTGAACAAGAATGTGGAGGGTGGACATCCTTGTCTGACACCACTGTTTTGTAGGAAAGCTTTTGGAGAGCTCACAATACACCCTCACCCGCCCAGAAGTATGTGGAAATAGAGATCGGACAATGTTGGCAAACTTCTGGGGCATACTCTGTTGAGCAAGTGTAGTTAACAGAACCGATCGGTCAGGAGAGTCGAACGCACCCTTGAAGTCAAGGAATACCATGATTGTGGGCCGTCCGTTAATGTAGCGCTGGCCTAACACCTGACTGAGTGTGAAGATGTGGTCAACACGGCCTCTACACGGTCGGAATCCCGCTTGATTCTCACGAGTCAAGACTTCGCGTGCCACCATTAGACGACGAAGAATCAATGACGCCAGAAGCCTTGTCACAACAGGCGTCAAGCGAACACCTCTGTGGATGCTACATTTACTACAAGTACACTTTTTGAATATGAGCACTACCATCGATTCACCCCAGCTGCCTGGGACGGTCTCCTTATCCCAGACAGACCCAAATAGGCCAGACAGGCACGTGCTGAGGACCCCACCGCCAAATTTGAGAAAGGCAGATAGAAGGTCGTCAGGCCCAGCAGTGCGATGACGCTTGAGTGGAGAAATGCACTTCTGAGACTGAAGGCGGTTTCATATCTACGGTCTACATTTCTGTCGAAGGCCAGGTTTCTGGATTGGAGGTGGCAGATGGCCAGCTAAATTACTGCTCGAATTTCTGTGCCCAGTGATCCAAACCTTCTGCTTCGCTGCATATCAGGGAGCAGTTTTGGTCCCTGGTTGTTTCGCTGATGAGAGGTTTTCGGGAACCAGTCGAACAAATCAAGTGGAACAGTTTGCGCACGTTTCCAGCATTCTTCGCATCTTCCATTTCTTCGACTTTTCGGATCCACCAAGCTTCTCGGTTTGCGCGGACACTCAGTTTCACCTGGAGTTTTGATGGCGACCAGGTAAAATCTGTCGCCGGGTCTCCAGCAAAGACACGGTCCTACCAGAATTCTAATGCTTCACTGAGGTTGGCTGGGTTGTACCGCCAGCAGACGCTCCTGTTTTGAGTAGCGCTTTGGATAGTTTTCCCCATTGGCCGTTTATATCCGACACCGTACCGTCCGGCAGGCATTCGGAGAGCTGGTTCTGTTTGTTTCGTTTGACTTCTAGGTCCACTAGCTTCTCAATGGCTGCGCAAGGTGTGCGCGTTTTGCGTACACCTGAAAAGTGCAATGAAAAGCAGCAGCGTGCAGGCGCATGATCGGAGTCCACTCTGGTATTCCAGATGTAGCAGCAGGCGGTGATCGACCCTCGCCACCGATAACTGACGGCGATGTGGTCTATTTGGATTCGGCGCTGGTTTGATGGTGGGCAACACCTTGTCAAGCGATTTCCGCTATTCAAGAAATCCGTACTGAAAAGGAACAGTCTGTGATCAGCACACATCTGAGGTAAAGGTCTCCGTTC